CATCTCTTGTATTCTGCTCCTTTCCCTTTTCAGTGTATTGTCCATATCTGATATTTTATTATTCATCATCTGGATCTTTTTTTGCAAGTTTTGAATTGTTCCAGTGCTGTATTAATGTTGTTTGATTGCTCTTATAATTCTTTCCTGACTTCTTCCTTGTTTTTCTCCACCCCTTTAAGGAGCATTTGAATTTGTTTCACTATCATTCTTCTGAATTCCTTCTCAGTCAAATCCAAAACCTACTCATTCTTTTCTTTGGAGACTTTGGCTGTCTTTAGCTCATTTGTCTCAGTTTTGGGGCATGTTTTGAGAGCTTTTGTTGTGTTTTGTGTGTCATTTCCAGTAGTTATATGGGTTTTTTAAATGCTTAAATGGATGTTTGTTGCCGTGTTATTGAGCTTACTAGGTATCTCCTGGTCGATATCATCAGGAGGTAGGTTTCCCTTTTTGCATGTAATGCAAATCAGCTGTTTTTGGCTCTGTCTCAATGGTGGAATATTATAGGGTATGCTTGTAGCTTGGCTATATGGCCATGATTGCTGTTTCTTCTTGGGTAATGTAGGGAGAAAAATCTCCCACCTCCAGGGAAAATGTGAGGTCAAAAGGCCCAAAAGTAGAAGCAATATAAAAGCAGACACAAAATCACCACTTTGAAACAAAAACAAAACTGTGGCCGACTCTCCAGTCGGCTTGCTACACAGGTAGTATGTGTGTACCGTAGAATCCTCCAGCAGTGGGTAGGGGTGTCTTCTTGCTTAGGCCTCCTCTATTCACCACCTTAGAAGTGCACAGATAGGTATTGAGAAGTTAATGGGAGAAAGAGTGTCTTCTAATTTTGTCTCTGAAGGTCAGTTACGTATCTGCTTATGCACAGAATAATTCTTGAGATAATTGCCTCATTTTATGTTGTGGTTTTACAGATTGTTCTTATGGTTTGTCTGTCAGGCCTGATAGGTCTGCATTTTCTTGCTCGATAGGCCAGAGTAAAGGGTACTGCACAAGTTAATTTTAGGACTGTGACCCCGAGGCTGACGTCATAAGCAGCTGTCAAGCTCTTTCTCTCTGTGTCGTGGAAAAACTGTGGGGTCAGCACTGGATAACTGAAGGTATCCAGGCCAGATAAAGAAGGAGCAACAGGGAAGAGGAGGAAAAAATGTGTAGAATCCCCTGCACCTCCTTTTGCACATGTCACTATACTGCTTTTAACACCAGTTCCCTGTGCTGGTCTGGCTATAGCCTCGCCCTCTGAACTCCGCCTGTGCAGGGTGGCTGCAGAGGGAGTCCTGTCTTGAGCTATTCCTAACTTGCAGTATTTTCCTTTATATCATAATTTTTTCACTTGTGCGTGCGGATAACCGATGCCCTGGACCTTTGCTAGAGCCAGAGCTCTGGTGTTGTTCCATGAGTGCAGATTCTCTGAGTTTTCAATCCCTCCCTCTGGAGGCTTTCCTACCTGGCTCTCTGCTGCCACCAAAACCATTACTCTCTCAGCTTGCTTGTTCTTGTAGTAGCCAGTCATACTGCAATTTTTCTTTTTGGTTTTTCCTGATGTTCTTTCTATAAAGATGTATCTTCTGTCACGCTTCCTGTTCTAGTCTGGTCTGCTTGTCTTTGCTAGTGGGGATGTTCCACCTCAGAAGGTTCTGAATGGGATTCAGGAGTTCACCTAAGGTCCTATACTCTGCAAAGGCTTTTCAAGA